ACTCCGGAAACGGTTGTCTTTCTATCGCCACAATTTCCCTGCTGGCTGTGATCATGGATTTTCATCGTCGACGGTATAGGTCTCGTTGTTTGGAGTCGGAGCCTGGTCTTTGTCGTTTGCAGTCCTCGTAGTCTAGTTCTGAGAGCGATCGATATTGGTACAGAGCAATTTCGACGGACAGACATGTAGTAGGTGACGGTTGGAGTAGCTGGTCAACCGTGTGGCAGATCGGAACGGCGAAAGATCCCTTGATTTTACTTATCGGCACTTCAGGAGTGCAAAGATCTTCCCGGCTCTCGAAGAAGTGTAACTTCAACCACATCATTTACTTGAGAACATAGTAGTGGAAAGTTTGCAAGAAAATGCCGCAGAGTTGCGGAAGCTGGCCATGAGATTGGTTTACATGGCTTTTGCCATGAGAAACCCAATGCAATGACGATCAAACAACAGACAGCCTTGATGGATATGTGATACAATCTTTTTGAAGCGTTCCGCGGCAGTACGCAACCACGTGGCATTGTAGCACTCCGGTGGATATGTTCTTCTTGTGTCAGTGACCTCAAAGTTGCTTCTGATGTGTGGCGTCCTTTTGGCCTATGAAGAGAAAGAAATGTCGTGCATGCAAGTGATGGTCCTCTTCACTTAAGGCCTCTAATATGCAAGCTCCTGAGTACCTGAGTCTACTGACACATCCTTAGCATTGGACTCCAATGTGCTCACCACGCAACCCAATTTTGACTTCAGACTTAATTGTCGTCTTTCGGCAGGATAATTCCATCAGGTATGCCTGTCCGAGCAGTTGCCGTTCACCTGTACGATTTGGCTATTGAGGTATTCCATTATTATCACTAAAAGCACGACATTGGAAATGTCACGGTCATCAGCGGGTCTCTATGCTGCTGTATTACTTTCACAGTTCTCCTCAAGAATGCTACATCTCTTCACTATCTGGACGTCCGATTCGATAACGAGAGTCCTGACCGAGACTTCCCGTTTCATCCGCTCTCACATGTAATCATTCTCGACGAAAAGACTCGCGAATGAAGGCTCGGATTGGATAAAAGACGCGATAGGAGTGAGCGTATCTGAAGCAAAACTGTTTATTCTCACCTTCGACTGATCTTCTTGTGCCTCGTTTGCCTGTTGTGCGTAATGTAAGTGGTTACCACCTTGAGCGCGTTGTATGCGCATGATTCTGAGCTCCCTTGACCTGACGGACATGAAACTGACATTGATCAGCATTCCAGACCAGCTATCGTGAGCTTGGGTTAACTTTGCCAGCAAAGGCTTGGACGCCGTGGTCATTAAATAGCATCGTGAGACATTGTTACTGTATCAGAAATCCCGATCTTGATCGATTGCATCTTCGTGCTCGTACGAGTCATTCCTAAATTCGTCTGCCTTGACTATTTCACTTCTCTGAATCTGCACGAGCAATCACATCCGTACTTACACGGCAATGGGGCGATCCGTCAAGCCCAGTTTGGACGCTTGATAGATGGCAATGCCTGTGAAACCGCAAATTAGTCCAAGGCGGAGGTCTCGTGCCGCTCGAAGTATCCGTGCTGCGCGTCGCAAATCTTGGCTGGCAATGCTAGTTTATGTTCATTGAAAAAGAGAAATGTAAATTCGCCCAACAAAGTCTTCCTCTTCCTCGACCCTACCCGTGGACTGACAGCGTCAAGAGCGCCGTGCGGGCGCACCCACAGCAGTTATACAGTCAAAGTGAATTTTCCCATCACCTGAACTAGATCGTCAAAACATGTGTGGCAATTTGATAAACTCGCCGTGTCACACCTCGACGTCAACGGAGTGGTGACATTCAGGCAGCTTTATTCGGCGCTTGCAGGCGGTGTGCCCATCGCCCTTCTTCACGTGCAATGGTCTCCAAGCACTTCCAGGCCCAATGTGCTTAACTTCCACGAGGTGATCTCAGTGTCTTATTCTCCGGGAAGTGGCTCATGCATGAAGGTCTTGAGCTCGTAGGCTGGACAGACTGAGCGAAGTGATCCGTCGATTCCAAGTTCGAGTTACAGAAAGGCTGGCACGGATCGGGCTGAGATCTTGACTCTGAGGTGAATGTAAGGCCTGGCTCTGCTTCGATTCACCACGGGTTCGCGATCTCGTATGCGGAATTCGCCCCCTATTCCAAGGTACAGGTCTTTTACGACAAATCGAACGAGTTGATGCCATTTTCTGAGTTCAATCCACTATCTAGAACGTGTCCTAGGACCATGACATGTGAACGGCCTCAGAAAAAGGTGAGGTCATCGCGAGTCACGAAGAGAAAAGGAAGTGAGCACATCGCGAGCTACGAAAAGAGAAACAAACTCGTATCAAGAAACACCTTGGGGAATAGCCTTCCACATAGGACAAAGAAGCTCTCTCACCTTCGTTACCTTCAGGAGTCACAACCAGGCCGATTCGCGTTGTTTCCACCCCGTGAGGCCTTGGCCCAGTGTGGTCAATAAGCTGGAGCCTTCAGTCGAGGTGCGATCTTTGAGACCTCTCAGCTTGGGAACACACCTGGTATGTACGTTCTGTGGCGACGAAAACTCACAAAGGCCCTCGAAGTGCCCAAAGCCCCAGGAGACAACAGGATCTCAGACAGCACTCCCACATTCCAAGTCTCTCTCTTCTCACGAAAGTTTGTATCGTTATCTAGAATACCGAAGGTACTCTGGCAGCTTTTGAGGATCTGCCCGGGCGTACACGCGTAGCAGGCAATTGAACGCTCCAAAGTATCCGCGAAGAAAAACTGTTTGGGAGCGGAATTACGACCTCTGAGAAGCCGAATCCTCACTACAGCCATATTGCCCTCGTCCATTCTTACGTCACATTCGTCACAGAGGCGTGCTGTCGGTGTTGGCTGGACGGGAACATATCGAAATGAGGAAAGGAGGACAGACTGAACCTCCTCAAGCGCAAGCAAAACATGAGAAGACTGATAGTATCACCATCAAAGCCGGCGACTGTGGAAGAGATGGATGGGGAGACAAGCACTACCCGACGGGAGATGAGGTCTCAAGTGGCCAAGTCTTCCATTACAAGTGCGGTTGTCGTAATTATTGCTTCAGAGGCTGTGATCTGGAGTACGGGGTGTGAGTGAGAATATTAAGACTCCGTGCTCTGCGCTGCAAAGCATGCGTTGCCGAGAACCTGAGATTGTACGGACAGCCATGAGCAAGGAAGGTGATGTGATCTTGCTCCAGCTTGGTGTCGTCGAGTCGGATTTGTTGGTGAGATGATGGTGTTGAGACTCCAACGCAGTTCCCCGAAAGCGGGTCGGGCGCCTACGTCGAGGATCCGGGTTGGATCCAGATGCTACTCTGACGGATTAATGCTGCCCGCTAGCAGAAGAGACGGCAGAAAGGTCGGAGGGCAGGACGTCGGCTATGACCAAGCGTGAACTGGTTGTGACTCAAATTGTGACAGTGACTGAGCTGCTGCTTTCCGTCAAGCACACTCTTGCGCCTCCTGAACTCCTTCCAAAGAAAGACGACAACGTCGACCCTCCCGCGCGCATGATCGCCAGCAGCTGATGCTGATGCTAATGTCGTGGCATTGTAGCTCTCCTAAGCTGCGCCATGTGCCTGCAGTTCGCTCCACCTCGCACACCTTGCCCGGTACTCGCGGGTTCGATACCTACCGTCCGTGAAGAACTCGTCTCCGTCTCGCAGCGAGTGCTCTTCGACCATATCCTACATTGCAGTACTACCGGTCCCCAGACCAGGTACTTTCCAACAGTCTCGCCCTCTCAAGATGTATCCAGCGAGATCCATGACGTTTCTGTCGAGCAACAAATCCATTCCCGACCCAAGAACGCCCAAATCACGGGCCAAGTTAGACCTCAGCTTGAGCTGCACGCTTCATGAGCTTCGACCACAACTCGCCAAGAGTTTCCCTCTGCCCATCACAAAACATACGAGTCCGAGATCCCCCCTCTCCTGTCTTTCCTCTCAAGCTTCTTTTGTCCCGATTCCCTGCGGCTCCATTCGAAACGAGCGAACAATGCAGCCCGAGTGCTTGTCATGGCTCCAAGTCGTTCCAGAAGTATAAGGGACTTGATATGCCGGCTGGATGGCCTAGCTGGAGATGCCGCCCAACTACTCTCCCGTGTGCTGCACCATCAAGTGCTCAAATCCGAGCGCTTTGCTGAGGATGAACTCGACCCGGCGCGGGAGGGAAGAGAGGCAGCCGCAATGTGCCATCAACTCGAGCCACGGGTGGGGCTCCAGTGTCCGTAACGGTGAGGGAACGCCGGATGTTAGATGCCTCCGTCACGATGGTGCTGACCGTTGTTGAGCATTCCAAACGTCACGAAGCTGCTTCACTCTGAGTGGTATGGAGAGGTCTTGCGTAGTGCTGGTCTGTCTGCATGCGTTGTTCTGTTTGACGCTGGAGACGGGACACATCGTCCCACGTTGCAGACCGTATATTCACCCTATTATAGGTCGGGCGGGGCTTCTTACCCGTCTTCTTCCTGTTCTACCACCGCAACGCTTGTGTCCTCTGGAAGTCCAGGAACCAATTCGTCTTCTCCGCTCTCGTTCCCCCTCTCATGCTCGCTGTCTGTTGACCTTTGGCCGCTACCGGCGGCGGCAGTGGCGAAGCGCTCCAAGATAGACCTGGTGGCCACCTCGGCGTCTTGGGTGATGGCACCTCTCCGGGCGGAGGCGAAGAATTCGACAGCGCGTGTGATACGCCTGGAAGTGGAGGAGCCGGTACTACGAAAGACTTGATTGACCGCAATCTCTAGAGACGAGTATGACTGGGGGCGGGGGCGAGGACGGGGGAATGGGACATCCACGTCTTCAAAATCGGAGCAGCCGGGCAACCGAGCTCATCCGGGAGGTCTCGATCGTCGTTACTTGAGGAGACGCTGGAAGCAGGGCAATCGAGGCAAAGGTTGTCGTTGTCGTCGTTCCCGTCGTTGCCGTCGTCAGCGATGGGAGGAGGGATTGAGGTGCGAGGTCCCCAGTCAGGCGACCGTGTCCGGGTTAGATCATCATCCCCGTGGAGTATCTCGTCGATCTTGCGTCGATGTGGGTGAAAGGAGAACCGGCCCAAATTTCTTGCCCAGGCTCGGAAACGTCCGAAGACTTGACGTCCGGGGTGTAATCTCCGTCTAGCTGGCGTAGCCAGAACTGCCCACGGCACGCATCGGCCTCCTCGTCCATCATGCGCTGCATGCCCTCGTCATCGATAGGGAGAATAATTAGCTCGGCTCCGCCCATACGCTCTCGAGCCAGAAGCTCGTCAGCATTACCGAGAACTCCGTCGTCTTCCGCGAAGTCGTCCACACTCCCGTCTTCTCCCAGGCGTTCTAAGCGCGCGACTTCATCTGCTTTGAGGGATAGGAGGATGCCTCTCAACTCATCATCTTTCTGGTGGGGGTGGCGGATCTCTGCGAGACGGGCGACAAGCTTGGCGGCGAAGGGAAGCGGGCATGCAGGGACTGGGGCCGGCGACAACGGGAAAGGGCGAGATAGTCCGCGAAGAGCCTCATCCAGGGCTTGGCAATGATATCTACCCGGTCGGCTCATTCGTGTGCGAATGTAGGGGCAGCGAAGAAGGGAGCCCGGGCCAATGGAGGCGGCTGTGATGGCTCGAAGAAGTTTGCCGTGCGACTCGAACAACATGGCGGGCGATAAAAACGTTGCCAGTTATTCGTGGTCGAAGCATCCCGGCTGGGAGTGCGTTTAGATGCCTATTCCACAGGTATGGGAGCCAAGCTGTGCCATAAACGCCGGCCACAGTTCGGATGAAGGCCGGCATCTTCTTTGGCAAAGACGAAAGAAGGTTGCTGGGCGGGACGAGCTCGTTGAGGGCGCAGATGCCCTTAGACCACAGCTCGACTAGTTCTCGGAGATGAAGGGCGGCTAGCTCGTCGGCGTGGCTCGTCACACGCGACCTTCACAGCTCCGTTCCGAAAAGTCAAGCATGGGCCTCGGAGATTGGTGAGCAGGTGAGCCGAAGCTCGCGGTGCATCGGCGGGCTGTGGTTCGCGGCCTGGTAGCACGGTTTCTTGGACGCAGTGCCGAACGCACGCACGCAGCTGTAGACGTCTGACGGTACGGAAGAATATCGACGAATGCCTACTGCCTGTTAGCGCGCGGTCCCAGAGTTTGTAGTAGCTAAGGTCTCAGGTCATACCAGCGAATGTAGGCATAATGCATGGAACTAGATCCTTTGACACAACATGGATCTCAACCGAAAGACACCTACCGGCGCGGGAGGGAGGGTTGCCGTCGTTGATTGTCGTTTGAGAGGTCCGGACAGCGGAAGAAGCCTGGGGAAGGAGGCGAACGAGGGGGCGGGAGGAGGTGTGGTGTGATACAGACAGAAAACGCAAGAAAATAGCGCGAAATAATAGAATATAGTTATCTTCCCAAAGCGAGCAAATCTCTTCTGAGGGAAAAGAAAAGATCTTTGGAGCGGAAGCTTCCTCCTTCACATCTGGAAATCCGACACTGGACACAATCATTGGTCGAGGGGTTTTTCCGGCACTAGGTTTCGGCGCCGGAACATCTTCGTCGGAAAATCCAGACAGCCTCGCCCCAACCCTACTCCAGGCTCATGAAGTGGGTGCCTTAGTCGGTGACCTTTGCGTCGACGTTCAAGAATCCGACTCCTGCGGACACTACCTCGCACGCCCGAGTCCCGGACCATTGCCCGCCCTAGAGCTACCGTTAGATTCGCAGTTCGAGCTGCGATCAAGTCCCTTTTTCACCTTTACATCCCAAGATCCTCACGTCAACGAGCGGCATGGCTCCGAGTATGCGGCGAGCGTTCGAGCCAAAGAAGTTGCCTTGCTGCTCTGGACATTTCAGCCCAACTTATGATGATCGAAGGCCGACTAAGACATTGCTTGATACAACTGCAAGAGGTTGGGCGGTCGAGTTGGACATGGATCCAGAGACCATGGGACGCATCCCTACATCTTTCTTGGGGCCATCAGTTTATTCCTTTTGTCTTGGTACCTTTCACGGTCAACGCTGACGACCTGGTTAACCATATTATTGCGTCCTCCAAAGCCAACCATGCCGCCCTGTTCCCTGCCGACCGGTTCGGCATGCTGCCCAACGCGATCGTTTCGGTCTGCTCGCACATACCCATGCTGGTCTTATCCCCCCCCGCAAGCACCCTTCCCTTATCTCTACTCTCCAACTCGACCCCTCGCAGATTCAAGACGGAGATCTGCTACTAAGACTCATAACCGTATCTCTGAGACTTGAATAAGACCCCTCACCTCTTCCAATTTACCATCCCAAAAGAGGTTGGGCCGGTTCTGAATGTAGGGATATTGAAGTTGCCCAATGCGATGCTACCATGTGATGGATGGAAAATGCCACTTCGACTTCATTTCCCATCTCGGAGTCTTTGACATTACCACACGGGCTCACCAGACCTTTGGGCATGCGGCCATCCTTACCGTTCTCGAGAGCCTGGTCGCCGCCTTGAAATGGAGGGTTGTCGTGTCTATCAACGACAAAGACGCCACCATGCTTGCTCAGCATGTCGATTGATCTACCGAAAACGCCATTCACTCCGTTTGCCGTTCTTTGATTATTAATGACCTTGAACACGGAGGCGAGCTCGATGTCTGGAGGTATTCCCTCAAGATATTGGCGCGTAAAACTCCAATTCAACCAAATAAATGGAGTCTTCTGCTAATAATGTTCACGGACTGGAAAGGCAAGAAAGGTAATGGCATAATAACCCGTGGCAGTACGGCACCGTCGAGTGAGGAAGGGTGCTATAAGAGCTAGCAGTATTAGCAAGACAATGAGCATTGGCTTTGCTACGGTCTTGCTGCCATGAAAGACATGATGAAAACTTGATGAAGAAAGGTGTGACTGCGAAGCAAAGTGAGGATACAGCTTCGGATGAAATTTAGACCGACTTCATTCTGATTTGAGGATAAATGAGATTCTTTACTTTACGCCTTGACTTAATAATCAAAGCACGATGGGCTAAGCGTTCCTGTATTGCCAAAGCCTTGACGAACTTTCCGATGCTGCTTTCTTCATCATATGATTTCAGTCTCAAGGGCATCGGGTATTGCAAGGAAACGTTCTAGATATAACATGGGAGAATCATGTACCGATGAACAGCTAAGATCCCGATCTGTTTTCGTCTTTCCCAAAGCTGAACTCCGTCGACAACCCTGTAGCAAGATCCCACGCTTGGAAGCCTTGCCGCTCCATGTCCCACTGCCATGGCAAGTCATTCAGTGCCACGGATTCAATACCATCTGACTTCGAAATACGACCTCCCAGCCTGGGTCAAGTGTTCCTACTCGTCTGCTCGAGCGCAAATGGCCTCCTCTAGCAGACAGGCTGGTTGATATGGCACCAATATCGCGGCCAGAACAGGCGAGACCTTCGACAAGTCGCAATACACTTCGAATCGGCAGTCAAGCGGCGGGAGGCTCTGCAAAAGGAGATATGGAATGCATTCAAGACATTTATCGGCAGAGACTCTGATGAGAACCTTTGATGAGTTTTGCGAATATTCCGAGGAGGCTTGTTTTGCTACATGGGTATCGCAATGGAAAAGCCGGATGGTCTACTTGCCCCTTGCACCGCCAACACGTTCGCCTCCGCGCTGGAATTGGCGGGCTCTCGTATCATCCTCTCGCACCTCGATTTATCTTGGCTGTTGTGAGAAGTCTCAAGGAAAACAGATCCCAACAGAGATAGCCATGGATTTGAGGTTGTCTGAGATCCCTAAATTGTGATATTATGATTTCAATTACCTTCATGGCTGACGCATATATTATCCAGTGGTTGTTCCCAATGTCTAAACCACGGATATTCGAGACCAAGCAAAAGTCCAAACAGTGCACATCGTAGTCACACACATATACTGTCCATGTTCGATCGTATCCTATCCTTCATGCTCGTAAAATCTTTCCACACCGTGTTCAGGGGTATCATTACGTGACGTCAAGCCCACCGCTGTCTAAAGAATACGACTTTGGTTCCGCTGACATCAACGAAAACCTGGACATCGATCGAAGGCCCAACGTACAGATCAGGTATGATCAAGAGCATGAGCTCAAAAAAATGCTCAACTACGGTGGTGCACGCAGTGGCATCTTTATGCTGCCCTGCGGAGCCAGAAAGACGTTAGGAGGCATAACTGTAGCCTGCACCATGAGTGTGAAGCCATGGAGAAAGCAACCCAGGAAATGGCCCGACATCAGTCCTGGTGACCTCGACACATCGCAATGCTATACGCAATAACCAAGTCATCCACGACAGTGTTCAGCGCCCCCACCGGCTGTAAATCTTCATACGCGTACTAAGAATCTGGATACAACCAACTCTCTGATGGGTTTCTTCACGTTCTTGAGAGATGTCCGAATGAAAACTGTTGTCTCATCAACTTTCTCTGCTCTGGACGAGCGCCAATACTCATACAAATTCAAATCCCGGGCTGATGTCCGGCAGATTTCACTACTATCCAGGATGAATATTACGGCGAGACCTTGACTCCTATGCATAGTTAACTATCGAATGTAGCTAGAACTATAATTCATTTGCCTAAGAAACTTTCTTCAGCGACATCAACAACTGCATCAACTACAACACTAAATACGAAATCAACTAAGACAGCAGCTCGAGAGAGCTTTTGGGTTGTCTTTGCTTCGCCCTGCACCACATTCGCATTCATAGACAATACGCTGAGAGCGTCGTTGGCCTTGACGACCCACTCAAAGCGTAAGAGTACGCCTCCTCCTGCGCGGTCAAGGACGAGCGCTAAAGGAGATGCTGAAAGCTCCAATGTCCGGATTACTCGCCGGGCCGTAGACTGTTGCACAAAATGTCCACTTACTGATAGGATTGCCGTTGCTATCGTGATACTCCAACCCTAGGCGAAAGTGATGGGCCGGTCTTAAGCTCCATCAGGTACATGCCAGTCGGTTAGTTTACGAATCTCGTGGCGGGCATGCTTGATGGACGATGCAAAGCAGCCTTCGACTTGTGCACGTTTGAGGTTGGTTCATGTTTGAATGGAGCGTATTTGAGACGTAGATTGTCCACCCGTCGATGAGTCCGTGGTCTTCATGCTTCAACGGCGCTACAATTGCCTTCCACCTAGCAGGGCACCAAGGTTGTTCGGTCTTAATAGTACAACTTGTGTCCCCACTCCGACACAGCAAGCCAACGGCCGCCCTCAAGGCCTTGTATTCCGATTCGATCTTCCAGTCGGTGAGTGTACGTAACGTGCCTTGGTTTCTCATTCTATAGGTACCGTCACTGTACAACCCATCAAGTGCCCAGCGCAAGCAAAGACTGAATTCGCGAGGGAAGTGGGCGTCGGTGTCCGATATGAACAGCGAAGGAAGAAAGAGGACAGGTTATCAGAGTTATATCGAACATCAGCGGCTTCGAACTCTTCAGCCGGCGAACCAATGGACCTATCCATAGTTCGAGAACCGCGTTTACTTGTCTGGATCAGGGTAAGCAGAAGAGTCGGAAGCCGGAGCAAGCGGTAGATTCGGCGGAGACCTGGAGGCTTATGCAGCGGTGTTCGT